CCCCCTCCCCGTAGGACTTGCGGCCCGTCAAACGTGCCATTTTCAGGGACAGTACGCGACGTTTTCGGGGCAGTTTTTTTTTAGTGGGACCATATCTCATGCTAATCTTCTCTGTATCGTTCCGAGTTATGCACCAAGTTCATTCTCATGTGGACAGAGCGTAGCTGCCCACTACGTCCAGAAAAGACAAACTGTGTGCTGTACCCTCGTTTTGTTTTTCTTTTTTTGACCGTATCTCGATTTATGTGTCATCCTTGCCCTGGGCCTCTGTATTGTTCGAAGTTACGGCACAAGATGCATTCCCACTTTGAAAAACTGGAGGCAGTGCAGCTGCCCGACCTCCTCGTTTTAGGACTTACAGCCCGTCAAACGCGCCATTTTCAGGGTCAGTACGCGACGTTTTCGGGGCAGTTTCCTCCCTCCCTTCTTTTTTTTAACGAGCCAACACTGGCAGTACCGTCACTCCTCACCACACGAACAAAGGACAAACGTTCTGTTTTTCTCTTTTTTCTGCTTTTGTTTTTTTTCATTGTGAGAAATCATGATATTGTGGTCACTGGTCGTTGCTTCTCGTTATCAAAACGAACGACCTCCGTAGCTCTGTCGAGGCTGTACCCAGCATCTACCGACCCTGCCCAGGCCTTCCACGAATTCAGGAAGAGCAAAAAGTTTGGCTGGGCGGGGTAATGGTGGTTTAACGAAGATTCTGATAGAAGAGCCTGGAAGCAGGCCTACCCAGTTTGGGAACAGGCACAGGAGTGGATGCAGATATGTCGACCAGGTAAACATAAGAAAAGAGGGACACAAGGCCTTGAAAATTCGAATGGAGGATGTTCTGGCTGCCAATCGTGGAGATAAGGCGGCCAAAAGATCACCCTATACAGAAGCTTGAATTGGAGGGCCTCGAAAGGCCTGGTAGACCGAAGGGCTGTACTGAATGAGCTCGGCAAGGACTTCAGGTACCAACAGACCGATGAATTAAACCACCCACTGAGGTAGACCAGGTCCGTGTCTGGACTTTACGATCTTTTTGTTGACTTCTTCAATTGGAAGAAACACCACCCTCGCAGGCCCCACCAAGAGACAGAGAGAGGGGGAGAGCATCAACATGTGTTGCCTCCAAGGAAGACAGTAGGTATTATGCGGAGAGCATCGAGGAAAGGCTCTGAAGTCAGATATGGGTACAAAACGCCCACGCACCCAATTGGTACAAGTTGTCGTTTATTTTTCTGGAAAGCCTCTTCAGCTCCGTTCCAATTAAACTGCCAGCACATCGCCCAGGCAAACTTGACCATTGAAATCGAGCCAATCCAAAAATTTCGGCTTCTCCGAGCTACCTAACCACAATGGCTGGCAGCACCAGCCAAAAAAGGGAGAAAAGGTGGGCCACTGGCATTGGCCAAAGCTCGGAGCGCAGTGCAAATCTGCCACGGCAAAAAGACGCTCAGATGTACTACTGGTCCTTTAACCGGGAAGCCCAACTAGTATACCTCAGATAACGGACGGTATATAGAAGTGAAGATTGACGACAATAATAATTCCAAAATGAGAAATAATTACAGAAAATAATAAGAACAGCCATACCTGGTGCTCTTGATCGAGAAGAAGGGCTTGGTCAGTCTCAATGTCAAATAGGAAAATTGGGACGATTACCGCAGAATTATCTCCATGTAGATCCTCGCCGTGCCTCATGTCCTGCTCGTCCTGAAGATTACGTATCTCCTCTGCAAGACAGAATGACAACAGATAAACCATCACTAGCTGACCTGTTGAGACTACGCCCGCAATCAAGGAGGGATTTTGGCATTGATCGGCAGATTGGGCAAATAGTTTGGTGGGTTCGTGGTTGTTGGAATGGAACTGCCCTGTTGTATGTAATTCACGTTGCATACCCTGGTGGTTGGATTAGAACTGACCTGTTGTGTCTGGAAAACTTTCCAAACCTGTCAGCTGAACAGCACAATTTCCCTTTGGTCACTGTGTGTGAGAAGTATTCTTTTTCATGGGGGACCTAATGCAGGTCTCATGTACTTTTTAAGTTACAGACGGGGTTTCTGGTGCAGGTGGTGGTCATGTACTGTGGTCTCCCTCCCCCTCCCTCCCTCCCTCCCTCCATTGCTCTCTCTTTCATACCGTAGAGTATGATTAGCTCCCCTTTCTTGGATGGATTGTCGTGTAGGTGGGAGGAGAGGGCGCTGGAGAGGCACATGTAGTAGTCATCGTCGTCATCTCTCTCTCTCTCTCTCTCTCTCTCTCTCTCTCTCTCTCTCTCTCTCTCTCTCTCTCTCTCTCTCTCTCTCTCTCTCTCTCTCTCT